ATCATAAGGTACTTTTTCTAGATCTTGTCTTGTTGACCATTCATAATCCTTACAATCGCCCTTTTCCAACTCCACTTCACCACTTAAAAATTCTGCTTTAAAAAAAAATATTTTCGCCCCGACAGTAATGTCCGTCCTAGCAAGTTTTGGATATTTATATTTATAAAACCCACAAGGTGCATTTCCCATGAATTTGGATTTTATATTTCCCCCACATTTCTCATGTAAAACCCTCTCTGCTGTTTGTCTCAATGTTTCTCCTGGTTTATGTTTTCCTTGTGGAAGTACCCATTGATAATTTTGACCAATTTTTTCATTTACTAGAAGTAGTAAATACCTATCCCATTCTCTATTAACAGATTTTGAATCAGTTTTCGATGTTGAACTTTTTCTGCTAGCAAAATTAAATGCCTTGAATTCTTCCAGTTGAGCATCTAGAAAGTCTTGACCAGTTTGTTGAGGAAAGCTTTCCATTTCAGTTATACTTATTTTTCCTTCTTTGACATCTTGTGCTCTCTTCATATCACTCTGTACCCTTAATTCAAAATTAGATTTGTGGCTTCTCTCGTATTCTATTTGAAGTAAAAGTTTGTTGAACTTAGATTCTAATTCATTGTAGTCCCTTGTTATCACCGGTTTTCTTTCTAAACTCACTGCACTGATAATGTCCCATTTTTCCTCCTTGAGATTATTTTTAAATGAACTATTTGAAAAGTTTCTCAAGCTACTGTTTGGGCATATAATTCTCAATATTGAACGCATTTTACTAACTTTTCTTTGCTGTCGCTCATCGGCAACCACTTATAACCTTCGCAGTAGTTATCAAAATAACCGACCAAGCAGTGTTGCCTCTCGTATCCTTGCTTTTTAAATGTCGTACAATTTTGTTTACTCAAAGTTTTTTATTTACTTTTCTTATAATCCCGTTATTTATTTTAAAATCTGTTTTTCTTTTCTTTTTTTTAAGCTGAGATATCACCTAGGAAAGTGAGTTTTATTAAAGATACAAAACCATAACATTAGCAACCTAGAATCACTAGCGGATCCAGGATTTAATTTTGGGAGGGGCTTCAGCCCGAAAGCTTTTTTTTCATAAAAATAACGATAATTGCTTTAGAAAAAAAAAAAGAAACTAACAACCTGTATGAAATGGTGTTTAAGTGATTCCTAAAGCCCTTTTAATATTAATCACACGAAAAATAATACTTTAAGAGATACTTTGTTTATATTTTTATCGATAAAACGTGGTTATATTTTACCATTTTGGGGGGGGGGGGGCTTCAGCCCGAAAGCCCCCCTCCCCGTAGATCCGCCCGTGCCTAGAATATAATGTTATGAAAATCAGGCTAGACCTGAAACGAAAAGAGAGAAAATGACATTATGATTATTTTAAGATTCTTTATTTCAAATTCACTAATGAAATAACAGAATGAATAATAGGCAAATATATTACATAAATAGAAAAAAGTAATGTTTAGATAAACAAAACAAAATTTTAGTATAATTTGTGTGGTTATTTAGTCATTTACTATTAAATATTTCGCGAGTATTTCTTTTAATAATATTATAATTTTAATAACTGCTACAGAGAATTCGTTCCTTGTTGTTAATGTTTCTTGTATTTTTCATAATAATATAACTATTATTGGAATTTAGATCACTTTGTATTAAATATATCAAAAAATAAAAGAATACCAACATTGTAAACAAAATGTTTTTTTATTAAAAAAGAAAATATAGAAATTGAAGAAGAGCTAGTGTAAGCTTTCTTTTAATAAAGTGTATTTGTATGAATACAATTTTTAAACACCCTAAGAATATTTCAACAATTTAAACAAAAAACTTGCGTGAAAATCACTAAGTAGGATTAGTTATGACATAAGAATGTCATATTTACAAAAAAATCGTTGAACGAAGATGCTTCTTCAATTTTGGATGACAGACTTTTTTTAATAAGGATGGAAAATGTTCAGGATGTGTAGCCAAAAAATTAAGTACATTGTGTCATATATTAATTTTACAAAATAGGTTTATTTTATTTTTTTTTTTTTACTGCAAATTGGAACCGTTTTTCATTCTTACAATTTCAGCTGTCAACTACATACCCATCTCTATTTTTTAAAAAATAATATTATGGTACTTTGCAACTGACATCCTGGAAAACCAAATTGCGACTCTCAATAAAGGAACCCCGAATAGGGTCATCTCTCCTGAAACCGGACAGCGTGAGTTGCCTTCATTAGTTGAATGTTCCAATTCAAATAGTACAAATAACTATTTATTTATTTTCACTTTTTCTTGCTTCTTGGCAACACAGATTTTTGGTAGAAGTAGCACAATATTTCTACCACTTATTCTCTGGTTCTTGGCCCTTCATTAGAGGAGGTTGAAATGATCAACACCCACCAATTCTTTACATCTTACCCGAAATATTCGTAGTGCTGGTTGTTATCCTTACCTAATAACAGAAATCGTCCTACGTGATGATGTAGAGTATGGTTTCTCTCAGTAGTTTGGCCCTTATTCTCTGAAAAGTTGTTAAAGTCTTGAGGACATATTCAGTGGTTTCCGAAGTTCCGTTTTTCAAAATAGTAACTCGCTAATAGTTTTTCCAGAACGGCAATGGATGCATTATATCGTCATATAAATTCTAACCCTGCCTAGCACGGTTTTCAAGGAACATGGTTTATGTATCTACCTTAAATGCGTTTTTTCATGCCCAATCTAATAGTACTAATTCCGACGAGCTACAGGCCATGGAAGCAGGATAAACATGACATAAAACAACGCGGACTTATTGTTTTCACTCCAAAACCTTGACAACACAACCTGATCCATGACTGCATTGAATTCAAGTCTCCTGTATTCCTGGCCTGTTCTTCCGTAGGTAAATGGTTTAATACAAAATCTTAATAAAAACTATTGTGATGAACATCATTACATATCATTTGGTGAACATGAACTATAATTAAAATTGGAGGAAATAGCCTAATGCAATCGAAATATTGGTTATATATGTACATACATAAATCCATAAAATTCCCGAGGACGACCGATTTATTGTGATGCTAACACTTCGAATCGCTGTAAATGTAAACGTCAGTGTGCCCCAGCTATCAGAATTAAACTCCTCTCAGAACATGGAGCAGCTCATTTATGAATACACATCTTGGACCAAGAAATAGCCCAGTAACCGTATTCATCATAAGTTGCATTGAATGGAGATAAATATGACTGAGATGCAAAATCCAAGTTTTTGACCTTGGTTTGGTGGGAGAGGCTAATCAATGTGGCAGTCCAGTATCTCCAAATGGTATATGTATAAAATTGATTGTATAAAACGGAACTTCCGGTAAGCCTATTTTGACGAAACAGTTGCTGTCACCTCAAGGGTTTAGTTCAGGGGAGGGCAAACCAAGGCAAGAGGCAAAAATTTGACTTGCCTTAGGTTTGGAATTAGCATATAGTCCGCCAGTAGATTTTTAAAATTTGTATTCTTCATTTTGAAATTTTTAAAAGAAAATTCAAGTTCTCTTTTTGGTATCAAAGCATAATTTGGACATTTTAAATGAAGTGGAAGAGTGTTAGCGATTAGCGGTGGGGTAAAGGCTGTAGGCTAGCGCATTGTAATTGATCTTAAAATGAATGCCGCCGCCCTTTCTTTTAACTGTCATTTTCACTAATCTTTTCCATCAAAAGAACTGGATAAGGGGCTGAGTGCATTGAAAAGAGTCCAATATTTCTGCCTCTTTCCTTCACCACCAGAGGACAAAATAAACCTCTCTTCACAAGCAGTCTTCTTTATTTCTTTACTCTTTATTGTTTTGAACTTTAAATTTTCCTCTGATAATTAAATATTTGTAAGGATTAATCAGTCATTATTTCATTTATATAATCACATAAGATGGAATAGGATTTTTCTTTTCTCAACCCACTATTATGTGGTGTTAGAACAGGGGATAGGACGTGGATTAAATATGATCTATTTTACTGCACAGAGTGCATTTTAAGAGAGGGATGGGAAATTGAGAGTACTGTTTTTTGTATGTTGTTGTATCTTTGTCTAGTGACGGGGCTCAGTAGTGTCCTGTAAATGTTAATTATTTTTCTCAGTCAAGTAAGAGTGAATAGAATTTTTTTTTTTTCCTAAGTATAACAATACTAATATATACAAATAACAAAGTCCTTCCACTGCCTGAGGGCAAGAATAGGAAAAATATGGAATTTGGTTTTAATAATAGTGCACCTTTAATTAATTCAATGAGAATGAAAGAGATATCATTATTTTTATTAATCAATAACAAAATACATAAATAATTATAAGCACATAAACTGTTAATTCCACGAACCTTATTATCTGTAGCAATAACAGAGGAAGAATTACAATTGTGGTAGGCCTCAAGATTGGAAATTCATGATTTTGGAACTTGTAAAACGGTTGGACACTCCTGGTTTAGTTGCTTTAATTATAAGCCTTGAGGGATACCAGATATAGCTGCCATTGAAACCACTTTTATTCATCAATTTGGATCCATACCTAATTTGGATCAGTCTGGATATTATATGGTTTGATTGACTCCCGTACATGTCACAAAAATATTTTCCTTGCTCACTACTTTCAACTAACTATTAAAGTGATAAGTGTTAAGCTAAAGAAGAAATTTTTGGTCAACAAGCCCTGGTATTTTTTATAATCGACTTTTTAAAATTATGAGATCTAAACAATTTTCAGTTTAAAGTTATTTACAATTTTAAAGTTATGAGATCTAAACAAGTAAAAATTGAGATCTAAACAATTTTGTTTTATTTACCTGACTTTCTCTACCTTTTCAATCACTATTTTTCCTGTACAAGAAATAAAATTATATGAAATATCATATTACATTCCAAAATAAATGAAATAAAATATTATATTCCATTGAATTAGTTAAACTCTTTCTTATTAGTGTTTTCCTATTGTGTAAGTTGTGTCATTACTGAAATTGAAAACTTTATTTCAGGAACTCCATATCTTGCCTGTCATGAGCTCTTTTCTTGTATTCTTCAAATTCTTGAACAATATAGTTGTAATTATAAGAGTGTTACCATACTGGAGACTTATATTAATATTCTTGGACTTGCTCTATCATGTGAAAAATACTGGGGTGAAATAGACTTCCAAACTTGGAAAGGTTAGAAAGTTACATATCCAGATATATTTTGTACCCTAATAAATTTTTAATATTTTATGGTGTTTCAATTTTGTATTCAAATGATAAAATCTTCCATGTTATATAGCTCTTCTTCAAGTATGTGTTTCATTGCTAAGAGAAGAAAACTCAGAAAAAATTAAGTCTATGCTTATGTCAGTTATCAATGTTATTATACTTCAAGGAGGAAGGATGACATCATTGATTCTGAAGTCTAAATCTCTGTAAGTTTCAATTATTAATATTTCCCTCCGTTTCCACATGTTTTCAGTTTATGTTTAACCTAGATTAAAAATTTTAATAAATACTTGAAGGAGCGAGTGGATGGAAGAGATATGTAACACCATGAGTGTTTTGGAATATCGATCCCCAAAATTGTCATTGTTGTTTTGTTTTTGTTTTTTTAAATATTTTCCTTACTAAAATACGCTTTTCCCATAAGTAATATTTTTTTATTCTGTATGAATTTTTCTTCTGATATGTGTTTAAAATAATAAATTATGTATTGTCCTAACCACCTTCTCACAATGTCTTTATTTTTTATCATTTTATGAAAAAATATAATTTATGCATGATCATAACCCATAAACATTACATATCTTCTTCTACTTGCAATATTCGTTGTATCCTTTATTATACTAGTATCTAGTTTAATAAGGCTTCTAGAGTGGTGCTGCATGTACAGAAAAAACACACCTTCATCCACTAACACTAACTCAATTTGAAAAAAAAATTACATACCTCCTTCATTCACCAAGCTCCGTCTTTGATTTTTATTATGAATTACGATTTTTCATTGTTTAATTATAGTTTTTAAAAATCATGTGACTGGACATAACAGTTATTTATATTTCAATTACTCTAGATTTATTTTAAATTATTTTTTATATATTTTAGTTTACAATTGTTTCCTGAAATATTCAAAGAACTTGTTCCCAGCCGTTACCCACCTGTTGAATTATGTGGAATTCAGTTGTCATATACTATGTGTTTACAGGTAACTGTCCCTTAACTTTTATTATTATTAAAAATAATAATAATAATAGTAACATCAGATCAAGAGTTAAAATTATGGCTTGTTTGTATTTTCACTGTTTTTCTTAATGATTTAAATTATTAATCTGGTACTTGGTTTTTCAGTTTGGAAAGGAATTTCATCTTGCTGTTGATACATTTATTGATGAAATGATACCAGTCATTATAAAGCTGAATGATAATAGGGTTTCATCAGATGCAGTATTCAAAGTATTAAATTTTTGTTTATTTTTTGTATTAAATAAGTATTCATTTAGTCATTGATTATTCTAAACTATACTATATAATTCTTTGTTTAAAATTGTATTATGTATTATTATTTGATTTAGATGAAATGTTTAGAAACCAAACATATACATTAAATTAACTTTTCTTAATTAGCTGACAAAAAAATAAAAAATATTTCAGTATACCTCTGATTTTTTTTCTTTAACCTCTAAAATCAATTTCCAGCACCTGCTTCCATTACATCATGGATGAGATGTAGCTGTGTGCTGCTTCCTTTTGTCGGGTACCTCCTGGCTCATCTTTCTTTCTCCTTTTTAGTCTCTTAATTACCTGTGCTGCTAGGGGTTGTCCCTCTATCCAGCACTCCTGGGAGAGCAGTACAAATCCGAACTTGTTATTGGCGGTTGGTTCTGATCTGCTGACCTCTCTAAACTCTTCCCTCTCCTTTTGAAATCGAGGACAGAAGAAAAACACGTGTTCTGCACTCTTTTCTATTGGTTTGCACACTGTACACTCTGCTGTATTGCTAAGCTTAAACTCATATTGGTAGGTTTGAAGGTACCCATGTTCAGTATGAAGCTAAGGTTGTAGTCTACCTTCCTGTCTACTCTGGATGGTTGACAGTGAACCAGTCTGTATGTCCACCTCCCATTTGATGTCATATCCCAGCATCGTTGCCATTTGCCAATGTCTTTTATTTTCAGTCTTCGACCTTGAAAATACGATAGACTCTGTTCTAGAACAGAATGGATGTAAACACACTTGATAGCATCAACCTGTGGCTGTGTCTGGGTCCTCCAACATTAAGCGTCAATCAAGACAGTGCTGTAGTCACTCTAAAACACCTTATCACTCACTTGTTGTATATACTACTTTATTCTGAGTCTTTCATTCTCACTCTGAAAGTATGTCATGGAAGGCTTTGTACCCTATTTCTTTCCTACCCACAGACAGCGTGATCTCTCTCTCCCCCTCTTTTATTCTCCTGCTCATCTTCTTTCTTGTGATTCGTGAACTGCAGTCCAACAGTTCTTAACGAGCTGCGGATCAGTTCAACAGTCAGGTTAGCCCTTAGGATCACGTCTTCCTTGTACTTGACCTCAACTAAAACTCCTAATCCCAGTAAAACTCATTGCTTTGGCACTCTCTGGAAGATTAAGTCTAAGAATCGTACATGATGTTTCACAGTGTGTGCATGTGTGGCCATATAAATACATTTTTTATTTATTTATTATTTCTTTTAAACTTTCATTCTTAATCAGTGACTGTTAAGCCTGTGATTAAATATCTCAACACAGATTAAATACCTGTGTCAAGGCAAAAGGGAGACATTTTGAGTAATTTCTTTTTTCTCTCTATAGATATACATTTTATTTTCTAATAAAGTTTTTGAAAAAATTGATTTTTCATTTGAAATCTGTATATATTTCCTTGTAACAATATTTATGACAGGACTAGGTATTATATGAAATGTACATCCAAAGATTATCAGATGACCATAAAAAATTTAATTAAACTAGCCTGATACTAATTTTGATTATATAATCTCCACGTAATATTAAGTAATCATCAATTAATAATAAAATATCAAAGGTTAGAATATGTATCTATTATTTTTAGAAGTTACTATTGCATATAAAAAAAAAAAATTTATAATTTATAAATCCTAAAATGTATACCCACCCTCTATAAAGATGAAAATTACAGTATTCTGAAATTATTTTAGGAACTCTTGTCACAATTACTAATTGAAGTAGTTAGTATCAAAACTCTAAAGTCCAATTGGCAAAAGGAGGCAAACTCACTCCTGAAATTTGTTGAAAATGAATTAGCAGACATCAGCAAACACAAATTGTCGTTTCCCAAGGAACCTAAAGTTATTACGCTTGGTGTCAAACTAACCAAATATGTAAGTTCATCTTTTGTGTGTTTCCATCCATATTTTGTTAGTAAAGAATGAAATTTACCTTTGGAATTTGATTTAAGTGTTAAATTCTAAAAATATCTATTTCTCTTTATAATTTTACAGATATAAATGTTTCCAATAATTACTATAAGAAATAAAATTTACATTTGTTTTTCAACAGTTAACAAAAGAGTACAGCAACAGGAGTGAATTTCAGGAGAGTGAACCGAAAAGAAGAAAAACTAACAGTTTCATTGGAAGAGTTTTGGATAATCTTTCTCTGTATCCACATTGTCCTTGGCCTTGGTATCTATTAACTCATTTAAAATTATCTTAGAAATTATTCTATTTTAAAATTAACAAATTTCTTTTTTATTAATAGGTTATCTTACATGGATAATTTGCTTGAAAAGGCTCCTGAAGTTGTTTTAGAAGAAGATATCTACTCTCTTTTTGAATATTTTTCAAAACATATGACATTGATCAATGACCCAATCTGTCTTCAATATATGATAATGTAAATAAGTATACCAGATCTTTTAATAATAATTAGATTATTTCAACCTCTTTGTTATATTTTAAAATAAACAACAATACTTCCCTATAAAGATGTAAATTATAGGGACCAGAATCTTTTAAGGGTTATTAAGACATTTATGTTACTTAATTGCCTATTATCTGTTGTTTTTTTTATTTTAAATTGTTTGATTTACCTCTCTTATTTATTTTTTTACTTTCACTTACCTATAAATGTAATATACAGTATTACTTTTACTTGCCTATATATGTAATATATAGTATTACTTTCACTTACCTATATATGTAATATATAGTAAGGGAAAGTATTGTGATCACCAAAATTGTCTTATTATTATTTTGAGGTCCTCTGAATCTAAATAACCAAATCACGCAAAATGGTCTGTGTGTGTGGGTTGGTGGCGAGGGGGAGGGGCGTACGTGCGTGGACGTGTATGTATTACGTATTTATGATAGTATAAGTATATGGCTTGGATGTGACAGCAACTTTTTCTGTTAAAATTGATTAACCGGAAGTGGCACTTTATATCAAAGGCTATACACATTTTTACAATTTTCTCAAAAACGGCTCCAACAATTTTGATTAAACTCGGTGTATCATTGTATAATTCAGTTGTCTTTAATATCATTGAGGTGTTATACCCATTGATATCATTTTAAAGAATTTAAATGCTTAAATGTTCAACATGTCTTCCTCTAAAGTACCTTTAATTTGGTTTATTTTAAATAATTAACTATCTTTCATTATTAAGATTTACGAAGAAATGCTAAATATAACTGTTGATAATTGAAAAAAGGGTAAATGTTTATTTAAGTCAAAAATGAATTTCCGGAAATACTAGTCACAAGCTATACGTATAATAAATCGTTAGAAAGTGAATAATGTTAGAAAAAACAATATCTAATATAGTAAGTTGCAGAAAGTAACGGAGAGTGACGAAAAATTATAAATAATAATTTGTGAAAACCAATATTATTTAACGGAAATCACATGTTTTCAAGGAGATTAAATGAAATTTACTAAATGTAAACTTTTTTAAAGTTTAAAAAAAAAGCTTTTAAAATCCACCTAATCAAGGCAATGGCATTGTTTAAAAAAACTATTTCATATATCTCAGTAAAAATAGGCAAAAAACAGGGCCGATATCAAAAAAATTCATAGTAGGCTTCCATAAAAATTCCATTGAAGTTCACCTGATTAAAAAAATGATAAACGAGCTGTAAATTGATCTATTTGACATCAATAAACCGAAATTTTCTTGATTTTAGTTCTGTCACTCCTCATAACTTTGTAACTACTGACAAATGAGAAATAATGCTCTCATATTTTTTGTAGTCCTTAGTAAGAGAAATATTTAAAAAAAAATGTTTTTTAAAATTTGTTGAAAAATGATTATTTTTTAATAAAAAAGACGAAATCTCAAAGCTGAATTCCATCACAGTCTATTCAAACTGGATAGCTAGTTATAGACTAGAAGCTATGCACTGTATCATTTAATTAATGGACCTACAGTTAGTAACCATTTTTAATTGTAGATATCGTGAGTTCAGCTGTCAATGGAAAGCTGTTACTATTTTCTATTCAAAAATTGAAATTAAAGTGATGAAATTTGATGTTTCATTTATCTGAAGAACTGACGGCTAAAATTTGTATATGGTGTAAAGAATGTATCCCTAAAATAGAATCTCACCTCGACTCGATGCAATCTGTTGCATTTTGAAAACTGACGACGTCAAAGTCTTCAAAATAGTCTAGCCAGGTTTCTCTTCATTTTTTTATGTTTTTTGAGATGCCGAATCTGAATTTGAAGTTATCGAGTGAAATTTTCCAATACGCTCCGAGATATATGCAAAAATTCACGAAATTTCTGCACTTTTTTAGTTTTTTTTATATGACTCTGAAACTTTGCATTTTATTAACATTATTATTCTATGCGAAGTTAAAAAATATAAAATCTTCTACTGATTTTATACGTCACTTTTTATTGTAGGAAGTTGACTGTCATTAGAGCAAGTTGACTGTCTGCTTATTTCACAAGAAAAAGCTGTTTTCGTTGGGTTTTTTCTCCAAAACTGATAATCTATGCATCTCTCCAAGAAACTTATTATAATCATTTTGAAAGAGCATTAAATTTCTTATAAATCTCATGGCGATGGGTTAATAAGTGAGAACGTAAGTGGCTGTTAAAGTGCACGGTATTGAAGACATTTTCAGTCATATTATCTAACGCACTCAACTTAGGCTCTTTATATCTATTCATTTCTTTAAATACGGCTAATTTTATTATATTTATAACATAACTAGAATGTGTAAACAAATAATATATAAAAGCAATTAATATTTAAAAGCTTCAAGTATTTATTAAATTTTTTAATCTAGGTTAAACATAAACTGAAACATGTGGAAATGGAAGGAAATATTTATAATTGAAACTTACAGAGATTTAGACTTTAGAATCAATGATGTCATCCTTCCTCCTTGAAGTATAATAACATTGATAACTGACATAAGCATAGATTTAAGTTTTTCTGAATTTTCTTCTCTTATCAATGAAATACATACTTGAAGAAGAGCTATATAACATGGAAGATTTTATCATTTGAATAAAAAATTGAAACATTAAAGTAAAAAGATAACATCAAAATATTAAAAATTTACTAGGCTCCAAAATATATCTAGATTGTAACTTTCTAACCTTTCCAAGTTTGGAAGTCTATTTCACCCCAGTATTTTTCACATGTTAGAACAAGTCCTAGAATATTAAAATAAGTCCCCAGTATGGTAACACTCTTATAATTACAACTATATTGTTTAAGAATTTTAATAACACAAGAAAAGAAAACGTGACAGGCAAGATATGGAGTTTCTGAAATACAGTTTTCAATTTCAATAATGACATACAACTTACACAATTGTATAACATTAATAAGAAAGAGTTTAACTAATTCAATGGAATATAATATTTTATTTTATTTGTTTTGTAATGTAATATGATACTTCATATAATTTTATTTCTTCTACAGAGAAGGAAAAATAGTGATTGAAAAGGTAGAGAAAGTTAGGTAATGAAATAAAAATGTTTAGATCTCAATTAATTTTCATTTTTACCATAACTTTAACAAACAATAATGAGGGGAAAAAAATTATTTACTGCTTTTTTTTTTTGCTGTATTTATCTAGCTAACTCTTCACTGCTTCAGTTTACGATTAAGTCATGGTGAAGAAAGTTTTTAGTGGCTTACCGACAAAAAAAAACCCTTTGATAAACAATATAAACTCCTCCTCTCTAGATCACAGAGTACTACAATTAATGTAAGGTTGTGTGAAGCCCTTTGCCTTGCATTATCTCAAAAATAGTACGTTTTTGGGCTTAAGAATGTAGGGCCTGATAGCTCTGAAGGAACTATCCGGGTCTTGCTGTACGCATCAAAATCTTCAAAGCCCAATTTGTCCCGTATCGATCTACAGACTTACCACCGTTTCAGTATTGAAGGCTAGCAAAATGTTTATATCGACTTTATTTATTTTAAAAAGAAAAGCAAAAGCAGAGTATGATTAGCTAACCCCCATGAAATTCTGAATCCAACGGTACTCCATTCATGGTATTTAATCATGGTAGGAGCTTATATTTGGTACAAACAATTTCAAGCCTTACTGTAATAATATATGTATAGATAGATAGAATTACCAATTAAATGTAATATATGTACTGTGTAAAACAACATTAATGATTGTTAAATGAATGTCGTATTAGTGTGAAAAATACTCAAAAAATCAATGTTCAAAACAGGTTTTTATTTAATTATCATAAAGGGGGAATACATTATTTACAATATTTTGGTAATTGTTTCTGTTTTTCTATTATATAATCTATCATATTTAAATAAACATCTAAATGGTTGTTAATGGTTTCAGGTCATCGTTACGCCTCATAAATATTTCAAAAGGAAAAATTGGTGATAAAAGTTGTTCAGATTTTCTTGATTTCCTTTGGACAACTGCAGTCAGGTATGTCTAATAACTGAATTATCTTAAGCTTCTGTTAAAACTTAAGAATACTTGATTCTAAAATCACTTGTTGACAAAACAATGTAACTCTAACATTTATAATGGGTTTACTTTCTTCTTAAAGAACTTTCTTTTTAAATAGATAACTTCAAACTAACTGAACACAAACATGAGACTGACTCAATATTTCTGACCACTAGCAGACTCACTGTCTAATGACAGAATACAGACTATGAACTTCTTTTATATAGATCCCAGGCGGTGCCTCTGTCTTCAAAAGAAATAAGTTCAGTGCAATCTAGATTTTTTTTTTATACTCTATTCTTTATAACTTTTTGATATCTAGAACTACTATTTTATTAACTTAAATGCTATAAAAATTAATATTTTTAAAATTCAATTAATTATTTTTATAACTCAACAAAGAAATATTACGAATCTTGGGGTTACAAGTGAATCAAACTATGACAAAATTATTGTTCTTTGGGTTTTCACCTTTTCTTGTTAAAAAAAAAACTGAGATGTTTCTACTGGTGAAACTCACTAAATCATATCTTTATTTATTTCAATTTTTTCCAAAGTTTTGTAATCACATTAAGTACTTTAGCCTAGTAGTAGTAGCCTAGTACTCAAAATCATAGTTTTTGACTTATTGTGTTTTATCTGTAACTTGAAGAAATAATCGATTCCATGTCAAATTTCACTAAATTCAGGTAAAATCACCACAATAGTTCCTACTATTTTATGTCACTCTTGACCTTCTTGATTTATTTTTTTCTAATTTTGTTTAATTTTATTTTGAAGGTTTGTAAATCATCCGAAACTTAAAGAAGTAGGATTGACATTGGTTTCAAATCTCCTCAGTAATGATGAGTGGATTAATTTTGATTGTGCTAACTCTATTTTAGAATCATATATTAACTGCAAAATTGAGGTTACAAAAACTTCATTGAAAACTCTTTCACAACTCAGTGCTGCTGGATTTTTAACGACAACAGATGTATGAATTTGTGATGAAGATATATTTTTTCTTTCCCATTTATAACAATACTTCAAAAATACTGATATTTATAATTTTCAGATCAGAATAAAACTCATTCATTGGTACTTCAGTGGTGCAATTTATTCAGTAGAAACATTACTTTGTTTAATTCTGAGATCTAAGTTTCCCTGCTGGATTCCAACTCTTCAAACAGATTTCCCTCTTACTGAAATTGAGCATTTTCATATTGTTGCAACTCTTGGTGCTCTCCCTGTCCCTCAAATGAAGTCCTCTCAGGTTACAGGTGTATATTTTTCATAAAATTTTAATTAATGAATGTATTATATGTAATAATATATTGATTATATTTTCCTGATTGTTTAAGCCATTTCCTTTTTTTTATTTATTGACACATGCTTTTTTGTTTGCAAAATGGTTGGTGTTGTCTTAAAAAGGTTTTAAGCTATTAAAGTCCTCTTTAAAACCAGTAAAATAAGCATTTAAAATATTTTCAACTGACTAGAAAGCTTAGGAAGATAGTTCACCTTGTGAGAATGACTATGAAAAGGGTGGAATGTTTGGTGAATATACAAGGAAAATATCTGCGTAATTCATGACCCACAAAGGTATCATACAATGTGACTGCCTGCCTAGCTTGCCTCCTGTTTAACCTTGCCCTGGAGATTGCAGCAAGAAAATTTCATGTACAAGTGGAAGGAACTATTTTAAATAGATCAAAGCAGTTACTGGACTTTGCCGATGACTTAGACCATAGGTAGATTATTTGCAGGCTTGAGGGATGCCATCCTCGATCCTGAAAAAGCAGCAGCAAGATTTGGTCTCATTATAAACGAGACCAAGTCCAAGTGTATGGAGCCGGAGGTGCGAGGAAATACAAGCATTGGGATAGGAGAGTTTACCTTCGAATGAGTGGAAGAATTTGTTTATCTGGGTACTATGGTAAACTCCAACAATGACATGCGACCTGAGGTAGACCGAAGAATAATGGCATCCAATAGGTACTATTTTGGACTTCAGAGACACATGAAAAGCTAATTTCTTTCCTCAACCTCAAAACTGCGCTTGTACAAGTCGTTCATAAGACCAGTTCTAATCTATGGCTCGGAATGTTGGAATATATCAAAAACTGTTGAGCTGGTCTTGTTACAATATGAACACTGAATCCTGCACAGAATATTTGGCTCAGTATGTGTGAACAAAGAGTGAATACATTTATTGGCCATACAATAGGCCTTTTTTGCCACAGGAAAAACAAAGAAAAAAAAAAAGGACCAAAGAACAAATACAGAACTGCAGGAACTGTTCCAGCATAGTGATATAGTTAGATTTATTAAGGTTCGTCAACCTCGCTGGGCAGTCTGATAGTCAAATTCCAAAAAAATCTCATAATAGAAAACTATTCAGAACCCCAATTGGAATACATATTGATGATGTGGCAGGTGATGCGAAATCCACCCTTCATATTTGAGACTGAAAATCGGCTGCTCAAAACAAGTATGGCTGACGACTGATATTAGAGGAAGCCTTAATTCCACACGGGTTGTAGCACCCAAAAAATACTACGGAGTTTGGTAATATTCTTAGTAATATTAACTATTAGAGTATTTATTGTTGAAATAATATTGTTTTTTATAATTTCGGATTAATAACAACATTTCTTAAAATAACAATTTTAGATAACTATTTTTAGATAATAATTTATTATTTGAATTAAAAACTTATTTTTGCAGTTTTCTTTTGTTTCCTACTTAAAAAGAATTTAAAATTTTTAACAAGTAAAAAAAAAAAAGCTTTTCTGCAGGTTACTTTTTTCTTTGATCCTGTAAATTTTATAATAAATAATATTAGTAATGACGTTATAGGTAAATGTTTATTATGATACTGAATTTTTTGGAGGAAAGGGGAAAGAGGCGTATTTGTTATCCACTTTGGGTGATAAATACCTATGCTAAGCACTGTTGCACTACCTAATCTTTTTTTCTGGCACTGTGTGCTGTATTTTAATGATTTATTAAAAAGCCCTTTTAGGAGATAAAATTTAATTATTTGAAAAATAATGATATTAAAATTAATTTTCAGTTTTTTCTTGTTTATTTTTTTAAGTTGTTGGTATATTTTTTGTCATTTTATTGAATTATGTTTCAGTGTCTCTGAAAGAAATAATCGAAGATAAAACAGTTTCTCTGGAATTTATGAATTTTTTTCCGAACAAACTAAAAGAAGTAAACTCTTTGGAGCAATCATTAAATCTTAGTACCTCTCTTCTGTCTCTTGCAAACAGCTTCAAGAAATATAATTTAACAGTTGCTACTAGGTACATTAAATATACTTTTTTAGGTAATAGTAAATCCATACCGCTATCTTAAATTTGTAAATTTTTTCTCTTAGGTTTACAGATATTTTAGCACAAATTGTTTCTGAACTTCTCAGTCGTATTAGAGAAAGTTTATTGAGAACGAAACATGAAAGTGATGTGTCCGTAATAGTACAAGCAACAGATTTTTTTGAAGAGTTGGCAATATTTTCAAGTTCCTTCTTAACCTGTGATAACTCTCTGGAAATATTAAATGTTCTATTTGAACAACTTAAACTACAACATGTTTCAATCTGCGGTAACTATTTATTCAAAGTGTGATTTCAGGTGTCATTGCATTATTAATTAATTATTAATTATTTCTATGATTCATTACAGATATAGATGAGAAACCTTCCTTGAAGCGAATTGATAGTGAGTATTTAAACCATCAAAATAAGCGCCAATCTGCAGAAAATATTCAGACTAATCATAGTTTTATTTCATAATTCAAACCATAAATTTTCGTTTAATAAAATTATTAATTCAAAGATGTATGATTTTTCAGTCGATAAAAATGAGTCTATTAAAGAAGAACAACCAATTAAGATATTATATACAATTTTAGCGTTGATGAAGTCTTTCTCTTTGGAAGATAAATTAAAAACTTATATTCATCTTATAAATGACTTCAAAAACAATATATCTTTAGCAACTAAATCCGGTTTTCAAATTGTAAGTATTTTTTACTTAATTTTGATTTTTTTATTAGTTTTATATTATTGACTATTTTTTGGATCTGCAATGTTAAAAATCCAAACCATGTTATATTTATATTTTTTTTAGTTTAATTAATCATTCAAAAACAGCTTAATATAGGGTGTCCCGTAAGTAGAGGAAAATATTTAAAAGGTTAATAGTAGACATCAAGATATACAAAAAAGTTCTTATGAACAATTGCCCAATTTCCAGCAGAAAATTAAAAAATTCAAGATTTGTGATTTTTTAAGTGAGTCACATTTTTTGTTGAATAGGAAGCAATAACAAAAAAAAAAAAATTGATTTAAGTAATTAAACATTGCTTCATGGTAAACTAATGTGGATAAAGTCAGCTAAGTTCCGTTTAAAAAAAAGTCTTAAATTATTAGGGTTTTTTTTTCTATCACATTTCAACTATAGTACAATTACCCCACTTTTAGTACAGTAAAAATCATAAAATATTTGTTTCAACTGCCTGATTATTGATTTCAACTGGCTCCCGCAGTGCTACATCCTACACCCTGAAGACGACCTGCAAAGTGGGTCGAAACATCGGCAAAATTAAAATAAAATAATTACTATATTTTAATTTAGTATTTTTTTGACTGCACCCCCGACTAACTCCTTCTCATAAATTATTTGTGATTTTTTTCTAACGAAACTTAGCTGAGTTTATTTGATCAATAGTCCTCTTTAAATAGTTTTAACAATGATAAACTCGTAACAATGATACCTTCATTTAAAGTAAATTTTGTCTAGTTTACTATGGAGCAATGTTTAATTGCTTAAATCAAATATTTTTTAGTTATTGCTTCCTATCAACAAAAAACGTGGCTCAATTAAAAAAAACACATATTTTAAATTTCCTACTTTTCTGCTAGAAATTGGGCAATTGTTCATATGAACTTTTTTGTAGTTCTTGATATCTACTATCAACCTTTAAAATATTCCCCTCTACTTACGGGACACCCTGTATATACAGAAAAAATATCTATCACATTTTATAGCTAATCATTTTAAATAAATTGTAATATTGTATAGGAATAAAACAGTACCGTTAATAAGCAAACTAATCACAATAATTATTTTTCATGTTTATTGAAAAAATGTACTTTTGATTAGGTCATTGATGTATGAAGGTTTGGCCTCTTATTTACAGGCTAAAGTTCTACTGCAACATATAATTAGTTCCCAAGTTGGTTCTAAAGAATTGCTTAAAAATGTTATATCTCTCATAACAAAACTTAGTAACAAATGGTATGCTTACTATGAAGAAGTCCTTCAGGTTCTTCAACTAATTACTGGTTTGCATTTTTGTTAAATTGTGTTGTCTTAAAATTGAATAAAATATTGTGAAGTTTCAATTGCTTTTTATATTTCCAGATACTATACCATTATTGCTTTTGTTCGATAAGAAGGGTGAATTGAATGGACCAATTCATAAACTTCTCTCATCATTTTCTAAACGCATTAATAAAAAGAGATACGGTCCAGAAATCATTTCGAAGTATGTTTCTGTTCTTGCTCACATTTGTGAGGTATAGTTATATTTTTGTCATTAATATAATATTTGTGAGTAAAGCATCAGACAATTTTTCTTTTTTCATTTATATTGTACTGTGTTAAAATTTTGTGATAATCTCTATTTATTTCCATTTTTAGTGTGATCCAGATGGAGTTCATATAATTGATAATGAAAATGGCAAGAAACAGCACATTTTGTATTATCTGCTTGAGTTTTTGAACAGTCCATTTCATCAGGTATATTTGTTGATTTGGTACCCCAAATTTAAATAAAAATCATAATTAGCATTTTCGATTAAAGATTATCAAGTGAAAGTAACTTTACAAACAGAACAAATTGTTAATTTTTTTATTACAACCGGCGTTACATCCCAAACATGGATTATTAAATGTCAACAGCAGTGGTGTTCTGCCATTTTCCTACTATCGAAATTGTTCCACAACCACAAAGGTTAGGGAACCACCAAGTTAAGATAAAATAAAATTTCTTAAAACCCAATTATGAATTACAATAATTTTTTTTAGAAAGTACATATTTAAAATTTACTCTTTGGATAGTTATTATTGTTGTACAGAACAGGGGAAAATATAAATATGTGATATTAATGGAACAGTGTTAAACAAAATTGAAAAAAAAGTTCCAGTTCCATTAATTCAACTCTATAAATTTTATATAAGTGATTATATTGACATTTTCATGAAAATAAATATGAACACTAACGTGAATAAAAATTCAGGAAATAAATCCGATGAAAAGAAGCTTCAGCCTTTTATCTATACTAATATATAATATAATGATACTGCAATATTAAACAGTTTCTTTGTTTAAATGCGTTTTTTAGGAACTGTTCTTCTAATTTAAAAAAATCTTTTTGAATTAGGCCATGTATTGAGAAAGGCTATCTTAGACCATGTATTGAGGAAGGCTTTAGGCTTTTTAAAATCACACTATGTTAATCAGAGATGCTATGATTAATGATTAAATAATAATATATAAATATTACTGGTTTTTGCTGAACCTTTAGAAATTTTAAATAATTTGAATAATTATTGCATACAATTATTTATAATTAACAATATTACTAGTGGTATGTTTCTATTGCAATATTACTAATAGTCTGATCTGCTCATCACAACCTTCAATTTATAGGTAAGAATAGCGACTTCTGAACATATAACTATGTTATTTAACCGTGAAGTATTGACTTCTGAAAGAAACGCCTTTCTAAATCAAGCTTTTAATATTGTTTTATCTGCTGTTAATAATCTATTTCTAGTGAAAGTAAGTTACAGGTTTTATTTTTGTACATTTAAAAATATCATTTAACTATTTACACAAATATGTAATGATTGTTCTTTATTCATAATAGGAAGGAAAAAGCTCTGATGAAGTGAGAGAAGAAGCTTTAAATCGAGGTTGCTGTGTTCTCAAGATTTTTCTAAGTAATAATGGTTGTTATTTTACTTTAGCCAATCCTACAGAATGTTTCAGTTAACAACATGTATATTTTCCCTCTATTTTCAGACTCGCATTTGTTAACATTTATAACTCCTAAAAGGTTAATACTTTACAAAATTTTACTGTTGGTAGATATATATCAGCTTGGCTTTAGCACTGTCAATTTACTTTTCTACACATCTTCTTCACAACATGCTATTTTTGAAGATTATATTACAATACAGCTAATAACAGTAGGGTCTTAATAAAGTTGATTTCGGAATATTAATTTTTTTTATTTATTTATTTTTTTTTTGAGATCATGCCATTATTCACTTTTTGTAAAATTTCCAATTAAATATTTAGATCATAATGATGTAGAGATGGTTGACTGTTGATATAATATGAGAAGGAGTTAGTCGGGGGTGCAGTCAGAAAAATACTAAATTAAAATATAGTATTTATTTTATTTTAATTTTGCCGACGTTTCGACCCACTTTGCAGGTCGTCTTCAGGGCGTAGGATGTAGCACTGCGGGAGGCAGTTGAAACACTGACCACACCAGTGTTTCAACTGCCTCCCGCAGTGCTACATCCTACGACCTGCTAAGTGGGTCGAAACGTCGGCAAAATTAAAATAAAATAATTACTATATTTTAATTTAGTATTTATTTGACCGCACCCCCGACTAACTCCTTCTCATAAAATATTTAGATCAATAGATCTTTGATTTACTTTTTTTTTAATCCGCAGTTACATGAATGAGAAACTCCTGATAATACCACAAATGTCAACTTTTTTTTAATAATGTGTTTTAAAATTTTTAATTGTTTTACAGCAATGTATAAAAAGTCTTGTTGAAACTGAATTTAAAGGAAGAGGAAGGATTCAAGGGATAAAGTTACTGAGAATTGCTTGACAACTATTTATTCTTAAATAATTTTGTGTTAGCTGAAAACTTCATACTATAGAAATTTGTTTGAGAGTTGTATTAGCTGAATAATTGTTGTGCATTTGGGATTTATTAAAAATTATACCAAACAATGCATTATTTATAAGGGGGCTAAAAAATTAGGATTAGTTGACGAATTCATGATAACGAAGAAATTATGTGCATTTCTAAATTATGCCAGATATTTACTAAACTCTATCAGATATTCTCTAGATTTACGCCTATGTCTACATAAGAGATTATATTTCCATACATCCACCATATTTAATGGTTATTCCCTAATTACCCCGTAATCTGCCCCTTGGAAGATGTATCCAATGGAAGACTAGTAACTTCACATAGATGTTTGTATTTACAATCTTAGTTTTAAGATAGTTTAACTTGCTAAGTTTACATATTTAATAATGACGTTTTCAATATAAAAATAATCCTTATATAGATAAACAAAAATATTTTTGTTTAAATTATTGTTTCTTTTAATTACCTTATAAAAAAAAAATTAAACATATTTTTCGATAACTTACATATTTAAATTTACATCTCATGTTGTACTGACATTTTCATTCAGTTATGTCTTATGTTACAGTCATGGATGGATGGTTTATTTTTAATTTGTAATTGTTCATACTTTTATAATATAGTTGTGATATTTTTAAAGGTCTGATATGCAGTTCACCACTGTGGAGGAGGAAAGCGCTTTATGAATTATTCAACACAATTGCTGCAAAAAATATTAGTCAAAGTATGTAGCACTTTGTTACTTCCTATTATTTAAGCTGACTTATTACTAATAGTAATTATTTTATTGTTTATTTTCTTTATTTTTTAGTTCATTTTGATAAGATTCACCATTACTTAGAAAGAAATATGAAAATAGAAAATAGTATTTCTTTTTTTGAACAGAACCTTGACTATATATTGTGGGAATGGTATAAAAATCACAAAAGTTTTGAGGTTAGTTTAGTTATGACTTCATCATTTTATGGCTTTCAATTATTAATTGTAAATTCTAGCTTTTGTATAAACTATAGACATACTTATTTCTGCTATTGTTGAAATAAGGTGGTTGACAACATTTTTTTTCTACCTCAACTTTCTGTTTCAGAAAATACCTTATATTCTCTTAAAGTTTAAAAAAATTGAAGAATTTTATGCTGACTACAAATCAATTATCGTACCAATTTATTTGGAAAGTCTAGACATCAATGATTTTCAAGATTTTTGTGGTCGTTTGAGTTCAACGCCCCAAGAAGTAGCCACTGTAGGTTATCTAATATATTTCAGCCCTAAGAAGATATATGTATTGTAATGATATATGTTTAGTATAAATAAAGATTCAAATTTTTGTTAACCACTGATGCTGATCAGATTACTTTTAAATAACTGTTGGTCAAGAAACAGTGCTGCCTTAGCACATACTTAACTGAATGGGATATAGTTTAAAGTTTTAGGTTTAAATACTTAAAGATTGTGAAAAATAAAATGGCCTCGTAATAGTTCCAAGAATTTATCGTCGTAAAGTAACGAATGTGAATCTTTGCCAAATAAACACTTTCGATTATGATTAACATTACTACATGAACTGATCCGGTCTTCTTACTGCTATTCAAATTTGACATTTTGGCACAAGATAAGCCTTGGAGTACTATGGTAAATGAATGAAATTTAAAAATGTGATCTTCCATATTTGTTACTTTTAACATGGTGCCAATAATATCTCAAATGAAAATGGATTTATTTTCTATACAAAGTACTTAGCGATTTTTACTTCCTTCAACATTTTTAATCTCATACAATTTCTTCTTGTCAATCATTTTTGGCAAAACTTTCCCCATCTTCAGAATTTTTACTTTTCAAACGCTAAAGTTTTCTCACATTAAATAAAATATATTCTTAATAAACATTATTTCCAACTTTCATTGCCAGGAGCTATTAAATTAACAAACAACTAATTTTATTTAAAAGTAAATATGAGTCACTCATATACACTTATTAATCAAACAAACCTATTGAAAATTAAAAATTCTCAGTAAAATAAACTTACAAGTATTTTATTCTCTCTGATTATCAATTTTAATTTTGTTTCATTGAAAACACTGTTAACATTTACACTACTTATTTTTAGGAATGTTTTCCAGAAATATTGTCTTGCTTAATACCAAAACTTGGTACAGATTTGCAAGTCGCGGCAGAATTTCACCATATAATTACTAAGATTTTAGGTAATTTGGTTTTAATTTTTCTTTTTTAAACTTACCTCTTTGTTATCGTATTTTCATGCAAAAGTTTTTTGTTTTTTTTTTCCACAGGACCAAATATTAAAGAACTGATGTCTAGTGAATTAAAACAGATTCTTTTAAATGTTTTCATGAAACTCTTGGATTGTGAATATTTGAATCAATTGTGTGGATTGAATAATACACTGCTCCCTAGTGCTACTCCTTTTAACATTTCATCGAAGGGTTTAGAAAATGCTCTTGAATACATACAGGTTCTGTTTTCTCAGTGATTCTGTTTTAATTTTAATTTGATTTATTTCATTTTCATTATTGATAATTATTATTCTTATTTTAGAGGACTACTCCTGACCCAAGAGAATCCCTTTTAATTTTTCTTTGCAATAAATATCCTAATTACATTCAATATATTATGCATAATTTATTAGCACACGTTCATTTGGCTACAACTAAAGAAATCAGGTATAGTTTTTGTTTTTTAATTGTATTGGTTAATTAGGCTAGGTAATTTTTAATTATTATGGTGGTATCGTCATCAATCCTTCAGTTTCGCTAAGCCTTATTATTATTATGTGTTATTCATTTATTAAACATATGTGCTTTACATTTAT